GTGGATCCCCCATGTGTCTACCTACACGTCCACTTGCCCATCCTACCACCAAATATTTACTCCATCTCTGGGCAAGTCAAAAGGAATGCAGACCTGGCACCTGCTTCTGAGAAGCAAACTCATCCTTTACTAGAAAGAAGGTGGCCAGGGTGGGGGTTATATCCTCTAGCACACCATGCACAGCAGGCGATCCACTCCCATATCCATACCCCAGCTCCAGAGCTTCCACACCCTCACACATCCACCTTTCCTGAGCCCAGCCCACTGCTGGGGGCCCTGTGAACTTCTCCAAACACCTTTTTGTCCCAGGCATTGCTTAATGAGGTAAGAAGGAAGACAGCCCAGGCTTCCCCTGCCACCTTCTCTGGCCCCTGATGGCTTGTTTGTTTCTTAGGACATGGAAGTTCTATCCCAGGAAATTGTGCGGCTCAGCAAGGAGTGCGTGGGGTCTCCTGAGCCAGACCTACAACCAGGAGAATCCAGCTAAAGACCTACAGGCTGCCTCCACTCCCACCCCTCCTCTCCCCTCCCCCTGAACACTATTCATTTGGGCTAAAGTGGGGAAATGGGGGCTGGCACCAAAATCAAATAGGTTGGGACACTGGACATTAAAGGGGATGGAGGCCTGATGGCTGGTTGTTAGTGACCCTGTCTTAGGACAGTGGTCCCTGGGGTGTGAGGACCCCGAGGGGAGTGTCAGAGGTTCCCAGGGGGATTTGCCTTCATCTCTGCATGAGTTCTCCCTCCCAGAGACCAACTGTTTTTTATTTTATTTTTAATTTATGTCTGGAAGCCTGGCTACTCTGCATTTGGGATTGGGGATGTTGGGTGGGGTGTGGTCCATGTTCAACATTCTAGAAACGTATGTGTGTGTGTGTGCACGCGCGCGTGTGCGTGCTTGCGTGTGTATGGTGTGTGTGTGTGTGTAAAGGTTGTGCAGCCAAAATACCATCTGGCCAGACGGGCCCATGCACCGACTGTCTGCTCTCATTCTTTCCAACCAGTAGGAAGGATGTACTGGGCGGGGGGGGGGGGGGTGAGGTTACACCACTAGAATCGGGGGGGGGGGGAGTCTTTGGCCACAACTTTACTCTCCTTCCCCCACCCTCACCCAGCCTGTCTCCAGTTACTGTGGACTAGCCCCTCAAACTGAATGGAACAGAAATATCTGCAGATATATATGTGAATAGATGTGTATGGCATGTAGGTCTGGATTAGACAGATGGGAGGATGGGTAAGTAGATGAACTGATGGATAAATAAGTAGAAGGTTGGATGATGGATAGACTGGGCAATTAATGGACAGATGGATAAATAGGTGATTGGATGAATAAATGGATTGGTAGGTGAATAGGTAGAGGATGGGCAGGTGGGGATTGTAAGTGGACAGATGGATGGCTAGGGGAATATCTGGATGGACGAGTGGGCAGATCGATGAATGAGCTAATGAACGGGAAGAGAAAGTAGATGAATAAATAATGGGGGGAGCGGGGGACTACATATGGGTAGTTTGGTGAATCATTAGGTAGTTGGAGTAAATATACAAATGGGTGGGTGGGTGGAGGGATGGAGAAATGGACAGATCAGGAGTGTGATGAGCTAGGAAGTGGAGGTAAATTGAAAGGCTAAAATTGGCCCTGCATTACTGCTCCCCAGCACACACCTTGAATTACTAAAAAGGAGGCCTCTGTGTGCCATGCCCTGTGCATCCCCTTTCACATCACTCCATTAATGGTCCCAACAACACTGTTGAGTTGGGGTAACTCCACCTGACAGCTGAGAAAACAATGCAAGTCACTTGCTCAAGGACACAGCAAGTCAGCAAAGCTGGGGTTTGAACCCATCCTGCCAGAGGCACTTGGTACCTAGTGCTCTTGCCACAGCAGCAGAGCCCTCTAAGGGAGGAGGCATGATCTGAGGCTCCTGGATGTGGACAGACGGACACTGCCGCTCAGAGTGGGCCTGCCTGGGAAAGAAGCTGGTATGGAGTGGGACTTCACAGTTGTCCCCATCTGCACTCTTCCCTTTCCCCCTCCCCCACCATGTGACATTCAAAACCAGGAGGATGGTGCTCCGGTCCCAGCAGTCTTGGTTACAGTTGGCTTTAACCCATGCCCCCCCCAGCAGCTTTGAGGGTCTGGCGATCTAGAGAAATGCCCCCCACCAGTCCTCCATCCACACCTTCTCCAGCCTTGGGGGGCAGGGAGGGGACAGCGCTGCATCATTCCCCGTGGCACTCCGCTCTAAGGCCATTAACAGACGCCTCCCCATCGATCGCATCTGCTAAGTGCTGCTGATTCAGACGGGTGGGGGTGGGGTCCCCTAGGGGCAGGGGGGGTAGGAGCTGGGCAGGGAGAGGGGGAGTCCAGGAAGGAGGTGGGGAGAACTGGCAAAGCTCCCTACCACCCCCATTTTCCAGATGACGCGACTGAGGCCCAACCAGCTTTATAGGAGGCGGAGTCTCCCCAGGGTCCCTCTCAGGCGGTCCTAGGGGAGGGGGCTCTGGGAGCCACGAGGCCCCTCCCTGCCTCGCCATCTCCCGGCAAGCTCAGAGGGGCGGGGAGAGAGAGCCAGAGGAGGAGGAGAACTCGGGCAGCTCTGCAGAGGGGGGCAGGAGCTCCGGTGTTTGGTACCCCCAGCCCCTCCGCTGTTGCCGTTTGCTGCAGTGGGGACACAGGTGAGGTCGCCCTGTGGGTAGTGGGAGGGGGCCACTAACAGCGCTGTCCTTGCCCTTCCCTGGTCCAGCTCCCACGCCCTAGCCCATCCTGGGACAGTCCCTCTGGGTCCTGCTGGACCTCGTCCTTGCAGAGCCTCCTTCCAGGGACCCAGCCCCCTCCCCTGCCTGTGCTGCCTTCTCTCCCAGGCCTGGCTGTGGCTGCTTCTCCTCCTGCAGCCGCTGCTGCTACTGCTGCTGCCCAGCGCACACCACCAGCCCCTCGGGGTGTGGTTTCCCCAGACCAGCCCCCAATAGTGGGACGCAGCCCTATCTTGGCTTCCCTCATCAGCCTCCTGCAAGGCCTAGCAGCCCCCCTTCCTGGAGACACACCCAACTCCCTTTCAACATCCCACTCCAATTTCCAACCCATTTGGGGGAGAACCCCCTTTTCTTCTCTTTTTCAATCCTCTGGGTCTGTGTCCAACTTCCTTCCAATTGAGCCCAGCCCCTTGGGGTTCCCCGGGCCCCTTTCCTGTCCCTGGAACTCCTGAGAGTGGAGCAGGCTTTCTCAGTCCCCCAAGATACCCCTCTCCCCCAGACACCCCTCAGCCTCTGAAAAATAACCTCGCCCTTTCTCTACCCTGTTAGATACCCCACTCCCTTCTCCAGCTCCACTAGGAGCCCCACCTCTCCTTCCTTCCCCAAACTCCTGTAGAATGTAGACACCCCCCTCAGGCTATTCTTGGCAGCTCTAGCACTCCCAAGACACCTCTCAGCCTCTTTACAACCTCCTGGCTCTATAGACATCCCTCAGGTGCACCAACCCCGTTCCTAGATCCAAGAAGGGATTTCAACCCCCTTATCTTTTCCCAGAAGTCTTCAGGGTGTGGACCACCCTCCTCACCTTTCTTACCACCACCCCCTAGCCTAGAACTCCCCTCCAGACCCTGATCTCAGCCTCTTCAAACACTTCTGGTCCTATTTCTACCCCCCAGAATGCCCCAATCCCCTCTCCAACGCAGCTAAAGAGGTCTAGCCCCTTCTTCCATCAGATCTGAGTGTAGACAGCTCCCGTGTTTCTTGCCCCCACTAGATACCCTCAGATATCTCAGGCACACGCCGACCCCTCTAGAATCATCCCAGTCTCTAAACGCTCCCTCAGATCTTCTCTGTCCCTCCAGACGTCCCTTCTCTGCTCCTTTCTATGTCCCCTAGCCCCTTCTCAGTCCCTCAAGACATCTGGTCCCTCCCAGGCCCTCTAAATGCCCTCCAAGCCCCTGCCCCTGTCTCTAGTTCTTCCTCCAGTTTCCTCTTGGCCTCTCTAGACATCCCCAGTTTCGTTGTGTGAGTGGCCCCGGGCCCCTCCAAGCCCCCACCATCCTGGAGACAGCCACATTCTCCTAAAGGCCAGCCCCCCAAGTCTCCAAGGGCCTGGGGTGCGGCAGGATGGCGGCAGGTGTGGCCACGTGGCTGCCCTTCGCGCGGGCGGCTGCGGTGGGCTGGCTGCCCCTGGCCCAGCAGCCCCTGCCCCCGGCGCCAGGGGTGAAGGCCTCTCGAGGGGATGAGGTTCTGGTGGTGAACGTGAGCGGACGGCGCTTTGAGACCTGGAAGAACACGCTGGACCGCTACCCGGACACCCTGCTGGGCAGTTCAGAGAAGGAGTTCTTCTACGATGCTGACTCGGGCGAGTACTTCTTCGATCGCGATCCGGACATGTTCCGGCACGTGCTCAACTTCTACCGCACCGGCCGCCTGCACTGCCCGCGGCAGGAGTGCATCCAGGCCTTCGATGAAGAGCTGGCCTTCTACGGCCTGGTGCCTGAGCTCGTTGGCGACTGCTGCCTGGAGGAGTACCGGGACCGGAAGAAGGAGAACGCGGAGCGCCTGGCGGAGGATGAGGAGGCCGAGCAGGCCGCCGAAGGGCCAGCCTTGCGGGCCGGCAGCTCCCTGCGCCAGAGGCTCTGGCGAGCCTTCGAGAACCCACACACTAGCACCGCGGCCCTCGTGTTCTACTACGTGACCGGCTTCTTCATCGCCGTGTCAGTCATCGCCAATGTGGTCGAGACCATCCCCTGCCGAGGCCCCACCCGGCCGTCCCCCCCCAAGGAGCATTCGTGTGGGGAACGCTTCCCTACGGCCTTTTTCTGCATGGACACGGCCTGCGTGCTCATTTTCACGGGTGAATACCTCCTGCGGCTCTTTGCCGCCCCCAGCCGCTGCCGCTTCCTGCGGAGTGTAATGAGCCTCATAGACGTGGTGGCCATCCTGCCCTATTACATCGGCCTTTTCGTGCCCAAGAACGAGGACGTGTCTGGCGCCTTTGTCACCCTTCGCGTGTTCCGGGTGTTCCGCATCTTCAAGTTTTCCCGGCACTCGCAGGGCTTGCGAATTTTGGGCTACACACTCAAGAGCTGTGCTTCTGAGCTGGGCTTCCTCCTCTTTTCCCTCACCATGGCCATCATCATCTTCGCCACTGTCATGTTTTATGCTGAGAAGGGCACAAAGAAGACTAACTTTACTAGCATCCCCGCAGCCTTCTGGTATACCATTGTCACCATGACCACACTTGGGTGAGTGCAGACCCTGTGTTGGGAGCTGCCCGATTAGTCAGTTACACTCACCTTTTCTGTAAAAGAAGGTTAGGTAAATGATCTGTTTGAGCTTCAGTTTGCTCGTCTGTAGAAACTGAGGGAGTTGGACTCATCTTCAAATCCCACCCAGCTTTGACAATGACTTGGGTTCAAGGATTGTCTTAGCTGTATTCTTTCTGTTGACCTTGTGTTCTCTGGGCCTGTTTCCCCTCTGTAACAGGAGAAGATGATCCCTTTTGAGGGGCTTTACGGACATCGTGGTTGTGAAAGTTTCTGGTACAGGGATAAATAGGTATTGGTTTTGTATCACCCCTTTTTCCACCTTGAGGACCACAAACTCCCAAACCTCTACAAGCATAGTGTGGGACACTACCTCTGTGGCTCTCCAGAATAAGATATTTTCAGCATCATTTTTTTTACTGACAATCCTTGAAAGAAAATAGTTGGGCTAAAAACATCAAATGGAAACACAAAACTCATGTTGTTCTTGAAGACACTGTCTAGGGCAGAGACTGTGAGCCTGTCCTAATTTCTGTCACCGGGATTAGGTATATACAGTATCTGTTGAAGGGATGGATTGAGCTTGCTCAGGGATTTAATAGAGGTATAGAAAAGTTGATTTGAGGTTTCTAAAATGTAGAAATTAATTCTGGTTGGAGGTTCAGGATTAGGTCAACAAACAAATAATGAGCCTTGAAAATGGATTGGAACTGAGTATTTTGATGCCTTTTACCCTGTTTAGTCTTTTTGGGGTTTTTTTTACCCTATTTAGTCTTCACAACAACCCTGGGTGGGTAGAGAGCTGCCCACGTCTCCTAGTTGAGGATACAGTCTGAGTTGACACATCACAGAGCCAGAAATGCCCAAGTTGGAGAGACTTGTAAATAAGTCAAAATAAAATAAACAAATGAGTCAAAATAAAGAAATAAGGAAGAGTCATGAGGGGTGGGGCACAGCTTGAGCAAAGGCTTAGAGGCTTAAGACTGCAGAGGCTGCACTTTTGTGGAGGGAGGCTGATTGGTCCTGTGGTTAGGACAAAAGGATGCTGTGTGATCTTGAGCAAGTCAGTTATGGGACCTCCCTGACTTTGGTTTGCACTCCCTCTGTGAGACAAGGTGGTAATATTGGCTCTGCTCCATCTCCATGGGTAGGGGATGGCATGGGGAAACATGTGAGGACAGTTTTGGGGTTTCCCTGGGGGAACAGGAAGGGGTCCTACCTAGAGAAGGTAAGACAGATTTAAGCAAAACCACCAGAGCATTGCTGCAGGGATTCAGAGCCCTTTAGCTGGCTGGTAGTGGTGGAACTCTCTCCGTGAGGCCATGTTTACTGCCTATAACTTCCTCCTTCTCCCCCATGCTGGGTATTAATAGATTTCCAGCTGATTCAGATGCCTGCACAGCTAGCATGGGGGCAGCAGATGGTAGGGGCTGAGGCCCCATTTTCATTTGACCCCCACTGGTGGCCAGAAAGGTCATCCCTCATATTTTGCAGAGCAAGAAACTAAAGGCTCAGAGAGTTGGAGTGCCTGGCCAAGGTCACAGAATGAGTTGGAATGAATGGGATGCAGTGGGGGACTGAGGGGGTGGATGGGAACTTTTCTTGACCTTGACTTACCTCCTCTGGCCCCAGATATGGAGACATGGTGCCCAGTACCATTGCTGGCAAGATTTTCGGATCCATCTGCTCACTCAGTGGTGTCCTGGTCATCGCTCTGCCTGTGCCAGTCATTGTTTCTAACTTCAGCCGCATCTACCACCAGAACCAGCGTGCTGATAAGCGCCGAGCACAGCAGGTGGATGCACCTTCCATCTCCTATTCCCCCCACCCCAAGCCAGTCAATCACCTCTTGTGTTTACCCACCTGACTCTTTCTCTCCTCTCTGTAGAAGGTGCGCTTAGCAAGGATCCGGTTGGCAAAGAGTGGCACCACCAATGCCTTCCTGCAGTACAAGCAGAACAGGGGCCTTGAGGTGAGTAGGTCACAGATTGGGGTTGGTCATGATCAGTGATGGGAGGAGGAAGGTGCTGACCTCATTTGTCTGCTCCATCCACTCCAGGACAGCGGCAGTGGGGAGGAACAGGCCCTGTGTGTCAGGAACCGTTCTGCTTTTGAGAAACAACATCACCACTTGCTGCACTGTCTAGAGAAGACAACGGTGAGGCCTAAGGAGAAGTGGCATGGCAGAATGAAGGGGATCTCTCTGCCACCAAGCCAGCTCCCCCCTGTGGACTTGGAGGCTCACTACTAATTGTGGAAATCATGCAGGGCTTCCTAGAAGAGGCCTGATAGAGCTGAGCCTTGAAGGGTGGGCAAGGGAAGGAAAGAGGAAGCAACTTCCAGAAAGGAGGGAAGGGCATAAGCAGAGGCCTGGTGGTGGCGGCAGCTCCTATGTGGTGCCTTGTGACCGTGCCTCCCTTCTTCCCACAGTGCCATGAGTTCACAGATGAGCTAACCTTCAACGAGGCCCTGGGTGCGGTCTCGCTGGGTGGCCGCACCAGCCGCAGCACCTCCGTGTCCTCCCAGCCAGTGGGGCCTGGCAGCCTGTTATCCTCTTGCTGCCCCCGTAGGGCCAAGCGCCGTGCCATCCGCCTTGCCAACTCCACTGCCTCGGTCAGCCGTGGAAGCATGCAGGAGCTGGACACTCTGGCGGGGCTGCGGAGGAGCCCTGTCCCTCAGAGGTAAGAAACCCCCACCCCCTGGCCATCCCTGAGGAAGCTCAGAGCTTAGACCAGAGGGTTTGAGATTTCATGACTTCAGGCCTAGCAAGTCAAGCTCAAACCCAAACTCCTCCATGCTGGGAACTTGGGCTTATCTTGTCTGGAACTCCTTGTCCTTCATTCATTCTCTTGTCATTTATTGAGCACCTACTATATGCCAGGCAGAGCTTTAGGCACTTTGGAGTTCACTTCAGGCAGAAATCCCTGACCTTCTGGAACTTATATTCTAGTGGGACGTGACTGTTAATAAACAAATACACAGATGACGCAGTGTGTTAAGTGCCAAGGAGAAAAATAAATCAGGAATGCGGGACAGAGAGAGTAGAACAGGGTATGGTGTAGTTTTAACCGTGTGGTTAGGGAAAGCTTTCCTGAGGTGATATCTGAGCCAAGACCTGAAGGAGGTGAAGGGGTGAGTCATGTGATATCTAGAGGAAGAGCTTTTCAGGCAGAGAAAACAGCCTGTGCAAAGACCACCGAGGCAGGACTAGGTCTGTGTCTCTAATAAGGAACCAGAAAACTACTGTGAGTAGAGTGGAGTGAGGGAGTGAGGGAGTGGTGGGAGGTAAAATCAGAAAGGAACAGGGGCCAGATTATGTAGCTCTCTTACTGTGCACTATTGTGAAGACTTAGGATTGTAAGGAGTCTATCATAATAGATGTTTTGTGTCTGTATGCCCATTGTGTTCCAGGCACTATTCCAGTGATGGCGAACCTATGACATGCGTGTCAGAGGTGGCACGCGAACTCATTTTTTCGGTTGATTTTTCTTTGTTAAATGGCATGTAAATATATAAAATAAATATCAAAAATATAAGTCTTTGTGTTACTATGGTTGCAAATATCAAAAAATTTCTATATGTGACACGGCACCAGAGTTAAGCTAGGGTTTTTCAAAATGCTGACACACCGAGCTCAAAAGGTTCGCCATCACTGCACTATTCTGAGCACTTTGTATCATTTATTATCTCAATTAATGTTCACAAGAACCCTGTGAGGTAGGAATACAACAGGTTCTTGAATAAAATCATTTTGTTCAATGTCGTTTTATTTTCTTGTCTTTGTTCTTTATAAATTGCCATTTACATTCAGTATTATTTGTATTAGTTTCAGGTATACAGCATAGTGGTTAGACAATCATACTTTATAAAATGTTCCCACCAATATTTCCAGTACCCACCTGGCCCCATACATAGTTATTAGAATATTATTGACTATATTCCCTATGCTGTATTTTCATCCCCATGACTATTTTGTAACTACCAATCTGTACTTCTCAATCCCTTCACCTTTCTTCACCCAGTCCCCCAGCTCCCCTGCCCTCTGGCAACCACCAGTCTGTTCTCTGTATCTCTGAGTCTGTTTCAGTTTTGTTTGTTCACGTATATTATTCTTTAGAGTCCACATATAAGTGAAATCATATGGTATTTGTCTTTTTTGTTGTTGTTGTTGTTAATACTCATCTGAGGATATTTTTCCATTGATTTTTAGAGAGTGGAAGGGACGGGGAGAGACAGAGAGAGAAACATTGATGTGAGAGAGACATCGATTGGTTGCCTCCCCCATGTGCCCTGACCAGGGCCGGGGATGGAGCCTGCAAGCTAGGTATGTGCCCTTGACCAGAATCAAACCCAGGACCTTTCAGTCCATGGGCTGACACTCTATCCACTGAGCAAAACTGGCTAGGGCTGGTATTTGTCTTTCCCTGTCTGATTTATTTTACTTAGCATAATTCCCTCTAGGTCCATCCATGCTGTCACAGATGGTAAGATTCCACCCTTTTTTAATGACTGAGTAATATTCACAATACCATTTTGTTATAACATTGGTGAAATAACTAGAAACTTAACCCTTGTTTTTAGTTAATTAGCCTGTGGTAAAATTTGGTGTACATCATTTTACTTAAAGTTACAGAACTTATTAACGATATTAAGTGAGGACTTACTGTATTATTATTCCCATGCTTCGCATGAGAGAAAAGAGAGGTTTACAGTAGTAAAATTGGGATCCGGATTCAAACCCAGGACTGCCTAACTTCAGAGCCCTCACAGTGATTGGGGGTGCAGGAGAACCATTTAGCACAGTGCCAGGGATACAGTAGATGCTCAATAAATGTCATGATTGCTGTAGCAAGTATTAAGATGACTTTTTAAGAACCTTCTGTCTTCCCACCCTTATCCACAGCCGCTCAAGCCTCAATGCCAAGCTCCACGACAACCTTGACCTGAACTGTGACAGCCGGGACTTTGTGGCTGCCATCATCAGTATCCCTACCCCTCCTGCCAACACCCCAGATGAGAGCCAACCTTCCTCCCCTGGTGGCGGTGGCGGGGCCAGCAGCACCCTCAGGAACTCTAGCCTGGGTACCCCTTGCCTCCTCCCTGAGACTGTGAAGATCTCTTCCCTGTGAGGGTTAGGCCCACCCATCCAGAAGGCCCTCTTGATTCTTGGGGACTCCTTTCCAAAGCCATATTTTTGGGGATACAGACAGGGGCAGGCCTGGGAAAACCCTTCTGCCCCCCACCCCCTATTGAAAACTATGCAATGGAGTTTCATGGAATGGCCTACCTTGTGGGGAATGTAGCCAGGGAATGGGACACCTCCCCACCCCAGACAGATTTCCTGGTGGGAGCTGAATTGCTAGGCTTCCTCAGGCCCCAGCACACTGGGACCAGACCCTCCCCTCAGCTGGCCTCCTGCATGCTCCTCCCCTTGGGTCCTCAGGCTCCCACCTGACATCTGAGCTCTAGCCTGAGAAGAGGTGAGACTTCCTCTTCTCTCTGTCAGGGGGCTGTGGAGGTTTGGGGATTCAGGGAAGAGAACCATTACCTCTTATCTGGCCTCTAAGAGAGGTCCCCACCCTCCACTAGGCCCAACAACACCTAAATTCCAAAGCTTGGAATGCAACCACAGGCTTCATGGGCTGTGGCCTCAGCAGTGACCTTCTACCCCCAGGCCTTGCCTCGGGGGTCAGGCTGCCTCTCCCAACACACATGGATAGCACAAACACTACCCCCCTTCTCTGGCTGCTGGAAATGGGTCCTTGCAACTCCATCCTCTGCTGGGCCCCCAGCAAACTCTAGCAATAGCAGCTGCTGCTGTGACATTATGCAAAGCCTCTGCCCAGTTTGCTGCATTTACATCTGCCCTAATCAGAGGGGCCACCTCTAACACTCCTCCTTCTCTCCCCTCTGGTTTGCTTCTTTCCTGGGTTGGGCCGGAGTCTGGACTGGCTGAGATAAGCACCTGGCAACCAACAGGGGTTGGGCTGGGTTTGGAGATCATGAGCTGATTCCTTGTACTTGGGCAGGAGTCCAGAAGCGCCAGGGGCTGAGGCCTGGGTTGTTCTTGAACTCTGAGAGTTGGAGAAGGCAGGAGGAACTTCTCTCCTCCTCCCCACAATACCTTTTCACATATTCCTCTCTCTTCTCCCTCTTGGGTCACCTTCCGGAACTCTGTGTTTGCTCTCAGGCTGATTATCTGGCATCATCTCAGGTTCCCTGTCCCCGTGGAGCTGGTGGCTGACAATGATGTAGTTTTCATCAGTCAATAAAACCTGAGAGGAGAGATGAGATTGAACACCTCCTGGCTCAGTGGCTTTGGGGGCTGGGGAGGGCTTGGGGAGTTAAAAGTACTCTGATTTAAATTCCTTTCAACTAGTAGAAGGGCTAGTGTGGGTGAAGGTATGGGAGGTAGACGGCTGGCGATGTGATCTGAAAGATGAGGATCTAGGAGAAATGAAAAAGCAGAGCTTGAAGAGTTGACTCTCTAGCCAGTGAGGCAGGCTAGGAGGTCCTGAGACATGCCTCCTTGGACATCATCTGCTCCAGCTTCCTCACTCACAGATGAGGAAACTGAGACCCAGAGCAGCACATGCTTGGTTTGGGGGAGACTTAAACCCTGGTTTCCTGACAGAAAACGGCTCTGAATTGAACCCTGATGAAAAGCATCTCTCAGTGTGGCAAATCCCCCTTCCTTGTGGATGGATGTCCCTACATTTTCTCTTCTGGGCTACTGGGTAGATTAGGCTAGTGTGTGACTGAGCTCTGTGGAGTACTGAGAAGACAGACCCTGGATTCAGGTCAACCTGAATTCCAATCCCTGGGAAAGAGAATGACGTACCTTTTCTTACCCCAGGCTGCTAATCTGTGAAACAGAGATAATCATTTCTTTTGTTTACCAAATATTTATTAACTGGGTATCATGTGCTAGCCCTAGAGCAGTGATGGCGAACCTGTGACATTCCTGTCAGAGGTGACATGCAAACTCATTTTTTTGGTTGATTTTTCTTTGTTAAATGGCATTTAAATATATAAAATAAATATCAAAAATATAAATCTTTGTTTTACTATGGTTGCAAATATCAAAAAATTTCTATATGTGACACGGCACCAGAGTTAAGTTAGGGTTTTTCAAAATGCTGACACGCCGAGCTCAAAAGGTTTGCCATCACTGCCCTAGGCGTACAGAAATGGGCAAAGTAGACATCATTTCTGTTCTACAGAGGCGAACGTGGAAGGCAACTAAGCAATTACAATATAGTGCAGGGGAACTAAGATCTATAGATTACAGAAGCATGTAGAGAATCTAACCTGGCCAGCACAGGAAGAATGAGGGGCAGTTAGCCAGATGAAAGACAAAAGGGTAAAAATGTTTCAGGCAGAGGGAACAGCATGTGCAAAGGCCTGGAGGTTAGAGAGCGAGCTTGGGGCCTTTGGGGAACTCAAATTAGTTGATAGAGCTGGGAAAGAGAGTGTGAGGCTATGATGAGGGTGAGAATGTAGAGGTAAGCCAGATCACAAAAGGCCTTTGAAGCTAGGATACAGATTTTGGATTTCATCCTAAGGATAATGGGGACCTCTAAAGGCTTGCAAACAGAAAGTCATCATGAGGTTTGTGCTTCACAATGATCATTCTGGTTGTGGAGAGTGGATTCTAGAGAAACACTCCTGGAGGGAGGAAGAGCAGTGAGGAGGAGGCTTTTGTAGTGGTCAACACAACTGGCCCAGTAAACATGAGTCCTCTCCCATTAAGTGGTGCCCTGGCCAGGTAATGGCAGTAATAGTTGGACAGTCAAAATTTTTTAAGAGGTAGAATTGGTAGGGCTTGGGATTGACAGGCATCTGGAAGTTGAGGAAAAGGCAAGGCTGACTCCTAGGTTTCTGGTTTGGGCAAAGGCTGGAGGTGCCATACACTGTCAAAGGTAACATCAAAGCTGTTAGCACATAGTTTCAGGCACATAGTAAGTACCTGGTGATGACTAGCTACACTTTCATAAGTTCAGTTTTAGATGTGTGGTGCTAGACAAATATCCAGTAGGGAGTGGGATACGTGGGTCATGAAAAGACTCAATGTGATAATGTGCATAGGCATTAAGAGCAGTGCCCTGAACACAATAGGCCCAGTAAACTTGAATCCTCTCCCATTAAGTCTCATGAAAAGAAAACACAATAGTACATTTATTACTGACACCCTTCAGGGAAGACTTCAACTAGGGTTGGCATCTGAAGGAAGTTTAGATGGCACTCAGAAGAGCTTTTTGATGGTCTCTCTTTCAGTCAATCTATTGTATTAGTTGGCTCCTAAGACACAGCAAGCTCCCACCTCTCACAACAGCTTCTTGGTTTATGAGCTCAATGGAACCCCGCAACTACTCCCTGAGGTAGTATGGGCAGGCATTATCATTCCCATTTTGCACATAGGTAAATCTGAGACACAATGACTTGCTCAGGCTCCTACAGTTGGTAATGGGCCATCCGTGTCTGGAACTGAGGTCTTCCTGACTCCAAAGCCTGGGATCCTTTCCTGTGCACCATCATGCTAATTTATTGAGCACTTACTATGTGTCGGAACACTATCAGACCCTTTATGAGTCTGACCCTTAAATTAGAATCATCATTGCCATTTTATAGAGAAGCAGAAATTGAGCTTGGGTGGATGTTAAATGACTTGCCAGAGAGCACACAGACAAGAGAAGAGCTAGATTAGCTTGTAACTCTCCAGCTGCTCAGTAGCAGAGATTTTACCAACCCCATTGTGAGACGCTGGCTAGTGACAGAGATGGATACATAAAGTTATGCTCAAACCAGGTAAATTCAGTTTCAGAAACAAATAAATAAAAGGCAGCTATGCGGCGCCTGCGCACTAGCCACAGGGGCGGGGAGGTCAACGCGGGGGCGACAGTGTGGTAATGCCAAAGAAGGCGTGTCTGCTTCCCAAACACCGACATTCCCCACGGTGCATGTCTGTCCCCTGGTTGGCTTGTCGGCCCCGAGTGACGGCGCCTCTTAACCAATCACCGCAGTTGTCAGCCCTTTACACAGTGAAGCGCCGCCCGCCTATCCACGGGTGTGGATTTACAGGGGGGTGGGACCGGAACTGACGCTACAAGGGATTGCTAAGCTCCGGGAGTGTTGATATTTTCCTGTCAGTCCAACTGACAGCGGCCAAGTTGGAAGCCCTGGAAGGGAAGCGCTTTTGAAATTGTCGTGCGCGGGGCAGGTCAAGGTGTCCTGCCTGTCGCTGTACCGCCGCCTGCGAGTCAAAGCCTCAGGGAAAGAAGTCAAGAGCGGGACGGCGCGGACAGAAGAAAGGCCAAGAGCCGGGGCGCCGACTTTGAGTGAAATCTGAGACGGAGGGCACGGGAGGGCGATCGCTCACCTCTGATTGGCCCTTGGGCGTCAGCGAGGACCCACGCAGCCACTTCGATAGGTTGGTGCCCGCGATTGTTGTGGCGGCGGCGAGGATTTTGCCCACGTACTTCCGAGCCAGAGGCGGGGCTGTGCTCTGGCGCGCTTGCGCGGCGCCCCTGGACCCCACCCGGTAGTTCAAGAACCTGCGAGGGGGCGGGGCGAAGAGGTGCTTGTTTTGGTTCTGTCTCCCTGGAACTGGAAGGCCGGAAAGAGCGTAACAATCAACTTGCCGAACTCCGAGAGTAGGCGACGACACTCGTCGCGCTGCCTTCACCTTCGACTTCACATCCGGGTTCTTCCGTCGCGTGACCTGCGCGTCGCCTAAGGCTCTCGAACCGGTGCCTCAATCTCTTTATCCAGGCCCGCCGATCCCGTGGTGCTCCGCGCACCACTTTAGCCCCTCATCCGGGTTCTGTCCCGGCGTGCCGCGCGCCGGGTTTGCTGGGGGGTACTCGGCGGTGCCGCCATGACTATTCTCCCCAAAAAGAAGCCGCCGCCTCCCGACGCCGACCCCACCAATGAGTCGCCACCGCCCGGGCCGCTGCCCCCGGCGCCGCGCCGCGGCGGGGGTGTGGGCGTGGGCGGTGGCGGCTCGGGCGTGGGCAGCAGCGACCGCGACCGTGAGTCGGGTGTCGTAGGGGCCCGTCAGCGGGCCTCACCGCCGCCCCAAGGCCAGCTGCAGGGGCCACCGGGGGCACTTCACCGCTGGGCGCTGGCCGTGCCGCCAGGCGCAGTGCCCGGTCCCCGGCCCCAGCAGGGCTCACCTCCTCCTTGTGGGGGACCGGGCGGTCCTGGCGGCGTTCCGGGCGATGCTCACGGTGCAGCGGCAGCAGGTGTAGGCGCGGCTGGCGTGGTGGTGGGCGTGGGCGGCTCGGTGGGCGTGGGCAACTGCTGCTCTGGGCCCGGCCACAGCAAGCGGCGGCGTCAAGCCCCCGGGGTTGGGACGGTTGGCGGGGCCAGTCCGGAGCGTGAGGACGTCGGCGCAGGTTACAACAGTGAGGACGAGTATGAAGCGGCTGCAGCGCGCATCGAGGCCATGGACCCTGCCACTGTTGAGCAGGTATGGGCTGGGAATGACAGGTGAGCGGGTATGGTGGATGGTATGCCCAGGCTGAGTAGGGACCCAGGGGACTTGCACGTCACCTCCCTGAGCCTGTCATTGTTTTTCTCTGGTGGTAGGGGCATGAGACACCATGTTTACCTGCCCCTTTTCCCCAAGGTCTTGAGGTTAGAGGCCCGAGATAAGACGAAGGACTTAAAAATGGTGTTTGTGGTCTCTTCTGGGTCCTGGGACCTCATCTTGTAGGGCCAGTAGGTGGGAACTCCCCAGGAGACACAGGCAGGATGAAATGCCTCCTGGGAGGGGAGTCTCATGACTCTCCAAGGGACCTTGGTCTGTGTTCAGTGGCATGAGATTTGTTTTTCTCTGAGACACAAGTAAGGTTGACACCTCAGATGTTTGAGTGATCCCAAGATATCTAAACCCTTTCAGGGGTGTGAGACACTCTGTATTGGACAACCCCCTCTTTCCTTCTCAGGGGGACACAGCACAGGACCCTCAGCAGTGGGGTCTGACATTTCTTCAGGGGTCCTAAGACTGCCTTCAGCGGCCTGAGACTTTTCTAAAATCAAGGCCCTGAGACACACATATACATCCCCTTTAGTGTGAGGGATCTTCTGAGCTTTCCTCCAGGGATATAACTTTTCTTGGGGAGATAAGATTCCCTTCCCCTTGGGGACAAGAGCCAAAACCAATAGCCAGGGACCAGAAACTCTGCTGGGGTAGAGGAGACTCATTCTCTTAATTGACAAGGGTCTGTGCTTCCTCTCAGTATCTGAGACCTCCTTGGGCACAAGAGTCTGAATCTCTCCAGGAGATAAAACTTCTTTTAAGTGATAGACCTTTGGCTCCTCTCCCCCACCCCCACCAGGCCTGAGGCTTTCTTCAAGAAAATGAGACTCACTGTTTTGGATACTGGAGCCTAAGATTACCCCTGTTTAAGGAGTCAGGCTTTCAGAGACTGGGTGTGAGGCCTCTTCAGATATCACCCCTCAGAGATCCCAGGCAAAGTGAATTCTTTAGGGGACCTTTCTTCTCAGGGCCTGGTATCTGAGTGATTTTCTTTTCTTTTTTTCTTTTTTTTAAAATATATTTTATGGATTTTTTTACAGAGAGGAAGGGAGAGGAATAGAGAGCTAGAAACATCGATGAGAGAGAAACATCGATCAGCTGCCTCCTGCACACCCCCTACTGGGGATGTGCCCGCAACCAAGGTACATGCCTTTGACTGGAATCGAACCTGGGACCCTTCAGTGTGCAGGCTGATGCTCAATCCACTAAGCCAAACCGGTTAGGGCCTGAGTGATTTTCTTGGGGAGCCTGAGACGCCACCACCCCTGTCCACACACAGAGGGGCCTATGGGCTCCTTTTACTCAGAAAGGACTAAAACACTTCTTGGGGACGTAATAACCCCCTCCCCCCTGTAATAGAGATCTAAGTACCCCCCCTAGTGTCAGGGATGTTAAGATTTCTGCCTTGGGAGCTCAATCCTGAGATCTAGGCAGCGTGGAGTCCCAGAGATGGAGTCTGAGGCCTTCCCACAGGCCTAAGCCTGCCTTCAGGGGCCTGAGACCCACTGTGCTAAGGACACTTGAGATTTCTCTCAAAGGCAAGAGGCCCTTGCCCCAGTGACTGCTGTGTCTCTACAGATGAGATCTGAGCTCAGGCATAGAATTTATCATTAGAATGAATTCCTGAGACCCTTCCCTTGGGGGCATAGGTACAGCGTTCCTGGGGAATATGGTCCTGAGTCTCCTATCCCCGCACAAGAATTTGAACTTGTCCACATGTACATGAGACACCTCCCCCCCCTTAGGACCTGAGACCTGGGTCTACCTTGATAGTATTGGCTATTACCTCACTTCAGACAGCACACATAAACCTGAGTCATAGCGGCCTTTTTTATTTTTTTTAATATTTTATTGATTTTTTACAGAGAGGAAGGGAGAGAGATAGAGAATTAGAAACATCGATGAGAGAGAAACATCAATCACCTGCCTCCTGCACACTCCCTACTGGGGATGTGCCCGCAACCCAGGTACATGCCCTTAACCAGAATCGAACCTGGGACCTTTCAGTCCGCAGGCTGATGCTCTATCCACTGAGCCAAACCGGTTTCGGCATAGCGGCCTTTTAGGGGCATGAGATTTCCTGTCTTGGGGACTTGAGCCTAAGACCACCCTCCACTTGTGAACTAAGTCCTAAGAACTGCCCTCTCCCCTGGGGGACATAGGTGTGGTGGGATTCTGAGGAAAAGAATCTGAGCCTCCTCCCAGGGGCCTAAGCTTCCCCTCAGGGACAAGAGCTCCTCCACTTCAGGGAGTGGTCTGGGCCCTACCCTGCCATGGGTGTGAAGCCTCCTACAACCAGGCAATCTTTTATCACCAGGGAGAAGGCCATGAGGTCCTCCCAGTGTGGCCTAAGGCTTTCCCCACTGCACAGAAGTACCTAGGTGCTCTTAGCTTCAGGCCAGGAAGGTCTCCTTACTTTCTCTCAGACGGATGTCAGTTACTGGGGACAGGGGACTAAGGCCTCTCCTCAAGAACTAGCAGATATTCAGAGACTCAGCCTGACCCAGCTCTGCTTGCTTCTCATTTCCAGGATCAGGGAAATATTCTGAGCTTCCTGAATTGCTTTCAACAAGCTTTTTTTCTTCCCAGCGATGGGAAAGAGGTCTGGGACATCCCCACTCCAGGGAAATTCTCCACCCATATCCCTGTCCCCCTTGGCTCAAATAAATCTTTCTGTACTTCGCAGGGGCCTGGGCCTTGTCTTGAGTCCCCTTCCTTGTTGCCTTTCCACCCATTACTACTCCAAGCAGGATAAATTATCTCTGGATCCACTGAGTCAGGACCAAGAGTTGTTTCTTCTCTCCCTGGTTTGGGGTCAAGTCTGCCTTTCCTCCTTCACAGAATAGGGAGAGAGACATCCCTGGTCCCAGGGACAGAGAGGAAGAATGTCACATGTTTCCATGGTGACTAGAATGACACCTCCTTACACCCCCTTTGCATCTCGTAGGCTGGGAGTTCCTCTGTTATACTTGTCCCCATAAGAACTTGGGAGTAGCCGAAACCGGTTTGGCTCAGTGGATAGAGCGTCAGCCTGCGGACTGAAGGGTCCCAGGTTCGATTCCGGTCAAGGGCATGTACCTGGGCTGCGGGCACATCCCCAGTAGGAGTGTGCAGGAGGCAGCTGATCGATGTTTCTCTCTCATCGATGTTTCTAACTCTCTATCTCTCTCCCTTCCTCTCTGTAAAAAATCAATAAAATATATATTAAAAAAAAAAAAAAAAGAACTTGGGAGTAAAGCTCCGTGGTTGCAGGATATCTTCTCTTCCCAACTAGAGGAAAAGCTTCCTCTCCTCGCACTTCTTGGGGTAAAAGGAGGAAGATGCTTCTCCCTGCCACACCTGGTCCGAGTTGGGACCCTCCGGGGACGTAAGAGGGGGACTGTCTTCCTGCTGCCCCAGTCTTGGTCCTGAACTGTCACTAGGGCATTTGTATCCTGGAGGCCAATTAGAGCCCGTGGAGAGGGAGCCCACATGGTGAATCTGGTCCTTGTTCTGGCTACTCAGACTTCCTGTTTGTCCCGATGCTGTGACTGTACCTCTGTTGCCTTTAGGAACCCCTTTGGCAACTTAGGGTCAGGGGTTTCCTTTCCCAGGCATGGCCGCCTTACTGAGAGTCTACTGTATGAAAAGAATGGCTTCAGAGCGTCCTCAGCTTGAGGACCCCACAGAGCATTCTGAGAATGGGGCATGCACACCAAGGTGGTGGGGGAGGCTGGGGCTGGCAGGATAGGCAGGGTGCCTGGGTTCCCATTCAGGCTCTGCTGGGGCTTTGCTGGTCACCCAGCAAAGCCCCTGCTCTGTGGGCCTCTTTCCCTATTGGTCAGGTAAGGAGCTGGTGGGTGTCATTTAGGTTTGGGATTTTAGAGAGTTCACACCAAAGCCCTCTGGACTTGGAGGTGACAGAAAATGGTGGGTATCTTTTGAGAAAGAACTGGGTTTCTCCCTGTCTCTCCCCTGCCCTTGTGTTTCTTCTTCGTCATCCAAGGTTGGTGGGCAGGACAAGCAGCCTATTTGGTGTGAGGCTCAGGGTTTGGTTTTTTTTTGGTCACCTGTGCTATGGTGAATAAACTCGGGGTTGCCTGTCAGGGGGCCTATTGGATGGTGTGGAGGTAAGGCTGTGTGTGGAAAGAATTGGGCCTTTTGAACTGGGCAGGCCCAGGGTCGTCTGCATAGCTACTTGATAGCTTCGGGCAAACTCTCAGCTGCCTCTTTTTTTTTTTGCAAAAGTCCACCCATGCCCAGTGATTGAGTGTGTGAGTACCTGGCTGACCCACCTCAGACCTTGGCTGGTGCTTCTCTTGCAGTTTCCCCAGGATCTTGCACTTGAGTTCTTCCTAGGAGCCTTTGTAACCTGCCAACTCTTCTAGAGGGGAGGCAGAGTATAGCAGAAAGTGGTCCCTGTTTGGTGGTCTGGGTTTGAGTCCTGTATCTTTGGGCAGTTCTCTTTTTTTGGGGTCTCAGTTTCTCTATCCATAAGATAGGTAGTGGTGAGGAGAGAGATTGGACTCAGTGTTCTGAAGCTAGTCATAATGTCTTCTTTAATTCCCTGTTCCCTACTCCCCCAACCCATTGTGAAAAGAAAGTTTTGAGTGGGGCCTCTTAGCTTTTGGTGGGGGTATGCTGCAAAGTTTCATGTAGTGTTGCACTTCCTTCTCCCTGGCCTATAGGTTCTTAGGTCGTTGTTGTTAATTTTTACAGCTTTATTGAGACATAATTCACATACCATGCAATCCATCAATTGAAAGTGGTTTTTAGTGTTCTCACAGAGTTGTGCATCCATAAGTAGGATCAATCAAGTTTAGAACAGTTTCATCACCTCAAAACGAAGCTCTTGGTCATCATCATCATCTCCCAGTCTCCTCCCCTGCTCCAGCCCCTAGCAACCATGAATCTACTTTTTTGTAAATATGTTTTTATTGATTTTTAGA